AATTTACGTTGTCCCTGCCTCAATTGTGTATATTAACATCCTTTCACTACTGTCAATTTATCACAGATATAGTATCTGAATCTAGACATCATATTTGACCGAGGAATCGAGGATCACATAGCTTCGTTGGTAAATTAAAAAAAAAACACATATAGTATTTGACCGACAGACCGATGATCACACTATCACAGTATTACACGAAGCTAAGCTGGATAGGGAGAATGAAATATTAATAATAGAAGAGGAGAGTCGAACTTACTTGACGGTGACGGTCTGACGGAGCTGGAGAGTGGAGAGCAGCGGCGAGCCGGCAACTGGCGAGCAACTAGTGAGCTGCAAATCGACGGACTAGGGGGCAAGCTTGGTTGCTAGTTGCTCGGGAATGGGGTCATCGGCGCTGGGTGAATCACAAAAGGCTGATACGAATGGAGTCAATCGACGGACTAGGACCGAATCACTCTAAGACACAGACGCCGACGCTGAGTGAGGACCGAATCGACGGACTAGGACCGAATCACAAAAGGGTAGGGCTGCGTGAATAAGGTCGCCACTCGCCACTTCGCCCGTTCGCTGTCTTTGCTAATCGCGGAGCCGAAGAGCCTGAGAGTCTGAGACGCAGACACTGACGCCGTCGCTAGGTTTGGAGGGAGAGGAAATTTGGGAATGAATTGGGTGCGGGGTGCGTGATGGTCTGAACTAGTCACTCTGATAGTCTGATCACTCATCACTCTGAATCTTTGATGGACATTCGGTTCGGTGAAGTAGTGAACGGGTGAAATCAGAATTGGATCTGGAAAAAAACAAAAAAAGCTTCAATATGGGCCTAAATCAGAAATGGACTGACTTGGCAGGAAAAAAACGAAAAGAAACTATAACATATAACTGTAACATGGGGTCATGGGCCTATGCAGTATTTTTTTTATGCCTCACAAAAAAATCACCGGGTAGGACCGGGTTATCAATCCAACATGTCAACCCGTAACCCGGTCCTACCCGGTCTGCGGGTCAGACCCAGTTTGGCCTGATTGTTACCGGGTTTTTTGGACTGCTTCAAAAAATGGATTGGGTGAGGCCGGGTTTATCGGGTTTACCGGGTTTCATGTGCAGCCCTAGAAGACGTGCAAGATAAAAGTAACGCATCCTTACGGCTACAATTGCCCATAAATTATCAAAAGGGTCCAATAGCTATAAGATATCAGTCCATTTAGAATTATTTATAAGTAACTTTTCAATTGTAATTATTTATAAGTTATTCTGAAGGTACCTTCTGCACCTTTTGGACGATGCTGAAACAGTTTTGGCTTGGAACTTTTGGAACTGCATATTACAGTAAAGGAGCTTCCTTTTCTGGATAATGGCTTCCCCAAGAACATAGCACCTCCCAAAAAAAAAAAGAAAAAAAAAAAGAACTTCGCCCACATGAAACCTCCCTCATAAAACACTCTGATAAACTTGCAATTATCTCCTATAAAGGTAGAGGCCAGTGGGCATCTCCAGAGTTGCCGCTAATTTATAGGCTTTGGAATTGAATACTCACCATACCAGTCTCTCCTTAAAATCAAGGGAAGAAAATAAAGTCTTCAAAATCTCCTGGCATACTCTGTGGATGTAGATCTGCCAAAGCACAGAATAGTTCCATTTGAAACCATTATGGATATAAATCAGACGCCATATGAATATTATATTGGGGGGGGGGGAGACACCATAGGGCCCGCCATAGATGGTACTACTTCTAGTCTTACATATAAGATCTAATTTGTAATGCAAATTGCACCATATAAACTAGGTCTGATATTTAGGATTAGAGGTAGTAGTTGATGTGAATGATTTTAAAATCTCATTGTTTGTTCCGTTGAGTCCACTATATCATGAAGCACTGAGGAATCTCATGGTAACACATGGGTCAATGGGTGGAAATTGAGGAATTAGCCCCAGATTAAATGTAAAATAAAGTGTCAATAGAAAAGTTTCCATAGCTAAACAAATACAGAATAAGGTCTTCTATATCTTTTGAGGTGTTAGCTTCACATTTTGCTCAGTTCCTCCACGTTTTTTGTGCATCGAGATTATCATAAGGATTGATTTTCTCATAACCTTCCTAATTACTAACAAATACTTGGCATATTCAGCACATAATAAGATATTCATAGACTTAATAAGATATTCATACACATGCTATCAACGTTAGAAAAGAATTTACCTAGGAGCATGCGACACTATCGATGATTAGAGAGGGTGCAAACTATTATTGGCAACCTATAAATTTCACTGCTATCAACCATCACACAGAATATATGGTTTATTGCAACAGTTACTTTCACATATATACTTTCACGTATAAAACCATGTTAGATAGGAATATCACCTGTCTAACATGATTATTAGGAATTATGCCCCTGATTAACATTAACATGTAATCACAGTTTATACCTTTTAAGCCTTAACTTCCAGTCAACATCTTAATGAATCAATTGAAACACAAATCAATTAACCTAATAAATTCAGTCTAAAACAAGTAGCACCACAAGTCATCATCAATGGCATGCAAGTTTGAATGATAAAGCGTAAATGATACCACAAGCAAATCATATGCACATCAATTCACTGGGAACTCTAGCTTAATTTATCATAACATGATACTCAATCCCAAACCAACTTTATGTCCTTCTTATTTCTATTGAGTGAACCCATGAAGTACCCAACCTTGTTATTACTAGTCACCTTGATAAGCTCACCAACTATCTGATGTGAACGGACCAAAGCCGCAAAGCATCATAAGAGTCCATGGGTTCCCAAATAGCGATGCCTGTGGGGGTCTTGATACACACCGACTCATTACTAAGTGCTGATACACTAATTGCTCATTAAGTATAGATAAACATCTACTCTTTATTGTACTTCGGTGGTCAATTCAATTCTTTGTGAGAGAGCTCATTAATTGTATCCATTTATTAGTTTGGAGAGTTACTCAAGATAGTAAGATCTTGATGGAATTGGATGTTACCTTAAAAGCTATAACTGAGAATTCTTGACCTGCACGATCTGTGGAGTTGATGTACTGAGGCTCACAATTGCCTGGTTCAAACTTGCGGAACAGTAGATTGGAAATTTTAGGAGGCTCTAGGGGATTGGATGGGTTAGAGGAGAGGTTAAACCATGATAGGATTGCTTGTGTACTTTCTCTACTTTCTCTTAGCCTATGATGGTGATATTATATGCCTCCTTTGCTCAATACTTTACTTTGTTCATTTCTATGCTTAAGTTTTAACTTGTTTAATTTGTTTATATATCACCCAATTCATTCCTTTCTAAGTGAAGTTTGCCACTAACAACCATCAATCCGTCCCTTTTAGTGGTGACAAAATCACTATCCTTAGAGCAATTTTAAAAGAACCACACAACCATCGTTGCAAGGTGAAGAGCACCAATAATGTTGTTGCGCAACAACAGCATGTTGATCAAATACAACATCAATCGCATCCATCAAATTCACCCCACCAATTGGACACTATCATATGTGTGCAAATCAACTAGCTGGAATCCACTGCAAGCTCAAATAGACGTAGATCGAAAATATTGAAAGTAGAGGACTTCCTAGATTTAGATCGACGAGAAGCCAAGAAACTCAAGATTTACCATCTCACTGGTAATCTTTCGACCATAACTTCCATCAACATAGTGGAAATTCAAATCGCTCTCAGCATAGGGAGAGAATGGGGACGAAGACTCTAAAAACTTACATCGGCCTTTAATTATGTTCAGTTTAACAAGCAACTCACGTTTCTTGGAAGCAAATCAATAAATGATGTTGTTTCCGTCTCATATTCACCCTTTCTAGGTCACTAATTTGTTTTGTTTTTCTTTCCTTGGGCTGTAAGACTTTGCTAATTCAACTAGACTACTACTACTTTATACTTTTCACTCTTTGATTTCTAGTTTTGTTTAAATTTTAAATGAATTGAAAATTCCCTTCCCCTTATGTTAATTGCATAATTTGCATTATCTAATTCTATGTACTGGATAATTTGCCATTGTAGGAATGTGATCCTGTATATGATAAGGATCAACGGCTTGTTGTTTCTATATGCATGGGTGATGCTATAACTTTTCAAAAATATAATTATCTTGCAATTATCTATATGAGATTTGGAGAATCTACGTATGAATTTTTAATTACATATTTGCACTACTTATATCTTAAATGAAATTTATTGAAAAATAAAACGGCAATGCCCTAACTATCAAATTATAAAAATATAATAATTTGAACCATGAGGCTGGGCAAAGTTGGCATTTACCTGAGTTCCTTGAGCATCTAGTCAAATGTTCAATTCTTGATGGTATGTATGAAAAGGGTCTCGTGACCAACAACTAAAGTCCCTTTGGGAAGTCTACAATACGTGAGGATTAGTTACTGCAATCAGTGATAGATAGCCTTGGCTAAAAACAAAAAAAATAATTTGACTTTAAAATATACAAAAAATAAATAAAATAATAAAATATAAACTGTCCATATACAGTGCTGCCAACGCGACATGCATCTTGGGGCACTAAAACCAGGTCCTTTCTGGCTGCCCAAAAAACATTTCAAAGTACTGATTCTTTCTTTCTGGTGACATTGCCCGTGGCTGGACCCTACAGTTTATTTGTAGCTGAAGGGGAAGATGAATTTATGGAATCGTGTTCTGAGCAACAGGCAGCAGGGTTCATTATTAGGTTAATTGAATCTTTGGTAAATAATTAGCATATTGTGATATATAAACTGTAATTAATGAAAGACATATATATTTTTTATTTTTCAAAGTAATATTCTTAAAAGAGTTAAATGACTAAACTAAATTTCAATTTCAAAATTTATAAGGTTCTCTGATTAATGTTCTCTGAACAATCATTAATTGCGGAGACCAAAATTAATGCATCCATCATTTTAAAAAGAACCCACCCTCCTAGCTAGCCACCGCAAGTTACTATTAGCTAGGGTTTCAGAGAGGTCTAGAATGATGAGGAAATCCATGAAGCTTTCATCTTTTTTCAGAACCAAGCGAGCTCCAAAACTCCTTCATCCATGTCAGTTCTTGCCCTATTGCGGACAGCCAAACACCCTCTCTTTTCGAAAGCCTAATCATTTATTAGGTGATGATAGCCAAATTCAAGCAACCTCATTATCAGTTGAGTCATCAGACCTTCTTGACTATTGCAACAACAACGGCGAGTACTCGTTGGAGAAGTTAGTTCGCGACGTCGTCCGGTCATCGGAGAAGCTGTTTTTCGAGCCTAACGGCGGCAACAAGAGCCCACTGTTAGTGGTAGCTGAGCCGGCGACGGATGAAGGAGTTGCCTCAGTGACTGATGATGAAGGTTCGAAATTACAATCTGAGATAGAGATAAGAAAACTGAAAGGAAAAGAGAAGGTTGATGAAGATGAAGATGATGATGGTGAAAGTGAGGTTGGTTTCTGTGATAGTGTGTTTATGGCGTTGGAATCAAATGATCCTTACGAGGACTTTAAGAAATCAATGCAAGAAATGGTGGAGTTTCATGAAGTGAAGGACTGGGAGAAATTGGAGGAGTTATTAACTTGTTACTTGGTTGTTAATCACAAGAAAAATCATGAGTTTATATTTAGGGCTTTTTTGGATCTATTTTCCATCGAAAATTAGCATCTTCCTCGGAGCATAACATTGTTGACAGTACTATTCTGAACTAAGAGCATAACATTGTTACATCTTTTCTCCTTCTGTACTTTTCATTTATCTAGGCTTCACAGTGAGATTGAAGATGAGAATGTTGTGAGCATATATGCCTATATTAACCTCTTAGTTTAATTAAAGGGTTAAAGATTATTTTTGTCCTGAAAGTATTTGCGAATGAATTGTAGGTATTTGAAAGTTTTTGTTTGTTTGTTTTGAGCTTAAGTTGTACCAAAAGGGTTTAAAAAAGGAGCAATGTTGCAATTTCCATTAAAAGTGTTTTTTTAACAGAAAAAGCAACATTGGTCCTGTTTCATTTCTTTTGAAATAACATTGAGCCAAGAAAAAAAAAAACCTCTCATTGATATCCATAGCTTCTTTGTAAATATTTGCAAGGTTAATTAAACATTAATTCTTATAATCTTCTCTATTCAGTTTTTTTTAATGAACCCTGTTTTTTTTAACCAAAGACAAAATGATATTCATAATAAAAAAACACTTCTAAGTTACATATACTTAACAGTCCTACGTTGGCAGAATTAAAAGTAAAAAAAACACAGTCTAGAGATAATAATGATATTAAAATAAGATAAATTATAGATGAGGGCAAGTATTTTTCGCCAAGTGATGTTAAGAACAGAAGAGTCATTAGAAGGAAGCTGAAGAAATTTCTTCTTCACACAGTAAATTTGTACAAAAATTATGAGCTCTGTTTGTCATAGAATGATTTGTGTGAGATTTGTCAGCATAAAGACGAATCCGAACAAAAGTTCACGTAAGATACATTTTATGCAGGCGGAGCTCGTAAGGAATTCTTCATAATTTTTTATAATATAACTATAACAGAAGGAATTAAGCTTTTGAAAAGTTCCCTTAATAAGGAACGCAATTTGACGTATTTCAATTTTAGAAGAAGAGGAGGAGCAGGTAGCAGAAGTTGCAGATTAATTAAGGAAGACAAACCACTGTGTAGGAAACACTTTAACCTTGGGAGAACTTTTTGTAAACATTTTAATATCATAAAAAGCTACTTTTTATTATCTTTGGTCCTAATTATAAGACCTCATTCATAGTCTATAAGCGAGATTTTATAATTAGAACCGGATGTAGTATGTCGGTTATAAAAGGCAACCGATGTAAAGTGAAACATCATTGTCCATGTTGAGGCACTTTTTTTTTTTCACATCCTTTTTAGCCGTTATGAAGGGATGTTATGTTGATTATTTGTCAACCTACACAAAGAAAGTATCTAAAAACTTACGGCTTATTCATAAAAATGCTACCACTTTTTTGTTTAGCTAGGTTGTTTCTTCTCATAACTAACGTAAAAAGATGTTTAGGAAGCTACATTTTGTAGTAGTGCAATGGGGAGTTTAGAAAAATCTTAGTTTACTAAAATCCTTTTCCATACTTCAGGTGAAAGTATGGAAAAGGATATCGATGGAGGCTTATTTTAAAATAGTAATAAAGAGTCGCTTATTTCAACTCTTTCTTTTCTTTGTTTTTTGTTTTTTTTTTTGCCATTGCTTATTTCAACACTGTTGGTTTTATTCTTTTATGAGTTAAAAGTATTATTAATCTTTGGCCAAAAAAAATTGTTAATATGGTAAAAAAGAAAATTTAACTAAAATATGAGTAGAGATACGCGCGGAGGATAAATGGATATATAGTAACATTGTTTTCATTAAAAGATAAAGTTGACTTTGTTCATAAACTCCTGACAGAATTTAATTCCATGTTTGAATATAATTATAGTTATCAAAAGCTCTTATTAGCCAAATTATTTCCTAGTCAACCATTTCTGGTTTGTTTTTCTATGTAGCATTATAGTGAAAATAACGGTAAATAATTTGAACGATATGATTCACTCATTAAATTCTAAGCCATGAATAAAAAATTGTGTCCATTTTTTTAACATAAATTGTGTGTGTGGAGTGTGTACCTACTTGAATAACGAGCCTGACACTTTATATTTTCAGATCTGAAATAATTGTCACTTTAGAGAAAAGTTTTCTCAATCGAATTCTATTTCTTTTTTTATTTTTTCTCAATTTTTTCTAACACATAGATATATCTAATATTTAAAACACAATAATGTTAAATATAAAATTATTGGTTTTTTTTTGTTATATATATGCTTTCAAATTTTCATTTTGTTCAAGCAGGACTAAAAAGAGAAAGTGGGTAAATGCATTAATTAGTTGAATGTTGAATAATTATATGCTATGCAGCTCAATATGCATGAAATTAATTATGTTAGGAAGTTACTTTATATTTGTTGCTCTTTTAAATAAAATTTTAATAATATATACTCATTTATATTTATATAAAAGTTACCAAATTCCAATTATCAAATTTAATCCCCACGTCCACCTTTTATAATGGATTGTCCCTTTTATGTAGAGAAGCCGTTCGCATTTTCGTAACGCATTATTGATAATTATTAAAGCCTATATTTGTTGGCATGAGCTAATGAATATGTGAAGTCTTTGATATTTATTTTAATTCAAATGAATAGAGTACATGATTAATACAAATTAGTTATTAGGATTTATATGTTAAATGAATGTTGCATAAATTAGTAATTTAATTTTGAGTTGTTTTGATGTACTACTACAATTTAATCATCGATAGAGGGAATTGTAGAATCTTTAACGAACATGCAGGTTTTTCAAAATTACAAGAGATATCTCTATAATTCCTAAAATAAAACGGAAAAGCATTAATGAAATTCCTATAATAACTACTTGTCTTTCATCCTTGCTTTTAAAAACCATGATCTCATTTGGCAACAAAAAAAAAAGGCATAATAGTAGACCAAAATGAATTTGAATTAATGACCATCATAAATGAAAAATTCATTCCCCCTTTCTAATTAAGATTCAATGGTCAATAAATTAATGATTCACTCCCTGATGTCGAAAAAAGAAAAGATTCACTCCCTACGGAATCTCCAAGATTCCAACCATGGTACGTATTTATTCCTGTGTACACAATGTGCCCATTTAATAATGACCCCTCTTTTTGATAATAATTCCTATGAATATTTTATCCCAAAAAAAAAATTCCTATGAACAACATGTGAAGTCTTTGATATTTATGTTAATTTAAATGAATAGTGTACATGGTTATAACTTTTGTCACTAAAAAAAATAATGACCCCTCTTCTTCTTTTTTTTTTTAAGACAATGAATGTGTTTTTTTGAGCCTCATCATCTTCTTCCTTTGATTCTAATTATATAAATTAGTTAAGAAATTTGTTTTGGTTCAAAATATAATATCTCAATCTTTTTTTTATGTTTATTAACTTTTTTCCTAAATTATTGTACATTTAATAAGAATAGTTTCATATGTTAATAATTAAAATGATGAGTATTTTGAAAAAAACCGACACATATTTTTTTGTTTAAAAATAACTCGATGGAGGAGAAAGAGTTTCATGGTAATTAATTGATGATGCTGATCAATGAGAAGAAAAATCATAAGTTCATACTCCAAAGCTTTTTGTTTATCTATTCAAACGACTTTGCACAATCCATATATGTTATTTCTTTTTGGGGGAATTGCAAGGAAAGAATTTAATTACCCTAAAATCTGTTAATAATTGAGTAGCATGCAATGACAAGTTTCAGTATAAGAAATTAATAGGTTTTTGGCATACCTGAAGTGTCGAATGATCTCAGATTCAGATAGCCACAAACAGAAGTCCGGTCACGATAATAGAGTTAGACTGTATTTTCACAGCAAATGCGCCAGAGAAGAAGGAAAAGCCAGAATAACAGAAAGTGATTGTTATGAACTGAAGGAGGGAAGGGGATATATACGTGCGGTAGTTTTCTCATATTCTAACTACCTTCACTTATCCATGGTTCTCATAACCGTTCCCCCCACACTGTGCAGTTCAAAAAACAAGAAGGGAAAAATCGCAACCACAGACTCGTATTTCTTGTTATTTTCACTAGAACCCTAAGCTTAATGGGCTTGGGTCCAATCCACCATGGGTGGACTGACCTATTTTCCTACATCTCCCACTCACACTTGGTGGATTAGATGTTTTGGGTCTTGTCTCTTTTTCTCCTTTCAACTTCATACTTAGTGCTTTGCCCTGATCGCGTGGGCATGATGTCTTCACTTAGGTGCTTGTACTAGAAATTCCTTTTAAAGGGCCAGCACAATCTTGACTTGCTACACTTTAGTCAAAGGCGACATAAAGTTTGCGTTTCTTTCCTACCATATCAGCACTCTTTGCTGCCTTATTGGTGAACACAAATATCTCATCTTTGCTCACTCTACCTGAGTGTCAAAGGTGGTTGGTCGTGTGAGAGAGTCAACCTTTTTTAACCTGTATGACATACTAGACAATGTATACTTTCGGACAGACACATAAAGTGATGACAGAAAAATATAATTTCATCAATGAGGTTTACATATTACACTTTATGCATGCCAAGGGCTTGCACATGTTCTTTAACAACTTTTTCACCTATTGGCTTTGTCAGAGGATCTGCTACTATACATTTGGTCAAAATGTATTGCACAGTAACAATCTTTTGTGCTATATAATCTCTAACAAAATTATACTTGATGTCAATGTACTTGGTTTTGCTGTGATACTTAGGATCTTTAGTATAGGCTATGGCTGTAGTATTGTCACAGTGTACTAACACTGGATTGGTACTCTTGTTGCCAAATCCAAGGTGTTCTATAAACCTTTTCAGCTGTAAAGCCTCTTGCACTGCTACGGTGCATGCCACAAACTCAGTTTCTATTAAATGTAAGGCAATACACGTTTGCTTCTTGTTACTACAACATATAACACCATTATTTAGCAAGAAGGCATAACCTGAAGTTGACCTTCGTTCTTCTTCATCTCTACCTACATCAGTATCAGAGTACCCAACAAGGCATAGGTTGCTTCCTTCGTAGCATAGTGCATAATTAGAAGTGCCCTTTAAGTATCTCAAGATCCT